CGATCTCCGGGAATTCCTATTCGGAACGAAGTTGCTCGTTGTACAATCCTGACTGGCAAGGTCACCAGTTCGTTATTAACGGTAGTATAGGTTGCCATGCAGTCTACTAATATGATTACCCTAAGCATTATACCAAAACAAAGGAATATGTGAATAAACGTAGTCTTGAACAAAAATTGAACAATTGTAGGAATGCAGATTTCTTAAACAGCCAGCTGCATAAGTTACAATTTATTGGAATATAGACAATGTTGACATGAACTAAGTACACCGAGTAGTTTAAAATAAAAAAAACTAGGAAAAACCTTGATGTATCGTTTCCACTTCACTATTGTGAACTTCTCGTTGCACTACTTCGTTCCCAGGGCCTTTTACCTTTTACCTTGATTCTGGGTTGGGGTAAAAAGATCCCAAGATGCTCCACGATTTCAGATTCCATGTTTCACACTATCGCTTCTTACTGCTTAGCATGCAATTAATAAATGTCGTGAATTCTGAACTGAAAAGAGGTCGAACAGGTTACTGGTCTTTTGCTTCCTGCATAAGCGTATATATATACTAGTATAAACACTGAAGGTCTGTCATTATTTGCAAATTGGGATAAGTTGTCTTGGAATATACCAGCTACTAGTTGGTAAGGTGAAATGATATATTGTATTGTTACAATTATACAAAGGTTTCTTTCGTCCTAATTTTTTAACTAAACAGAACCGTAATTACACACTTGCTGTTAAGTTCTGAACTGACTCACAGTCATCGCAAATCTTTCGCTCAAACATGTGTCATGCATACTATCATCTCAGTGCGGAAAAACTCGAGGTTAAACGTTGACGTACTTAATTTACAATTCTTGATGTCTGTGTACTCGTACATGGTCAATTTAATTAGTCTGTATAATCATTTCGAAATGAAACTTGAAGACATCGTCTTTAAATGAATGATGTTAGCTATCCCTATACTGATTCCACTGTTATTCATACGAGAGAAAAGCAAGTATATTGTATAATTATGTTATTAGGCATCTGCGTTATTTTTCGAAGAAATTGTCTGTATCTTCCAGGAAAACTAAAGCTAAGCGTGAATCACGTGATCCGGAATAAAGCAATTCGCATGATTTGGTAGGCTTTTCTAAGAATGTTCGCCACTTTTAAATTATGTCATATACAGGGTTGGTAGAAGTCATGAATAAATAAGCCAAATATTAGTAACATAACATATGCTTTTTTTGTTTAATAGTAATAATCAAAGGGCCGTCAATAACAATGTTTGGCCTATTCATTCAGTAACTTACATAGCAACCCTGATCATGTATATGCATTAACTCCCTCAAGACATATGTCAGATCCTGTCTCACCGGCATCAATCAATCACATGCGAAGGAATGCCAAATGCGAAATACGATTTCATTATTTTCATATGAAATTTTGAGGACGACAAGCCATCGTCGGACGTCAAAAAATACTTTACACATATATACTAATATTTATATACATGGAAAATAAATAAACCATGACAAATTTTCGAATAGAAACTTGTCAAGACATGAATCACAGGTTGAGACTTATCAGATTTAATACAGTCCCTTTTGCTTACAAGGTAGGAAGTTGTTTTGGAATATACCAGCTACTAGATGGTAAGGTAAAATCAGGGCCGTAACTAGAACGATAATTGGGGGGTGTTTATTCATATATTCAGTTCTGCCCGACGGATTTCTTTTGTAAGTGCAATAGCTCGCAATTGAAATCCGTCGGGCAGAACTGAATATATAACACCCCCCCAATTATCGTTCTAGTTACGACCCTGGGTAAAATGATATTGTATTGTTACAATTATACAAAGGTTTCTTTCGTCCTAATTTTTTAACTAGACTGAACCGTAATTACACAATTGCTGTTAAGTTCTGAACTGACTCACAGTCATCGCAAATCTTTCGCTCAAACATGTGTCATGCATACTATATCTCAATGCGGAAAAACTCGAGCTTGACGTACTTCATTGCAATTCATGAATTGATGTCTGTGTACTCGTATATAATCAGTTTAATTAGTTTTTATAATCATTTCGAAATGAAACTTAAGACATCGTCTTTAAATGAATGATGTTAGCTATCCCTATACTGATTCCACTTTTCATAAGAGAGAAAGCAAGTATATGTATATATTTCAGGCACCTGCGTTATTTTTCGAAGAAATTGTCTGTATCTTCCAGGAAAACTAAAGCTAAGCGTGAATCACGTGATCCGGAATAAAGCAATTCGCATGATTTGGTAGGCTTTTCTAAGAATGTTCGCCACTTTTAAAATATGTCATATACAGGGTTGGTAGAAGTCATGAATAAATAAGCCAAATATTAGTAACATAACATATGCTTTTTTTGTTTAATAGTAATAATCAAAGGGCCGTCAATAACAATGTTTGGCCTATTCATTCAGTAACTTACATAGCAACCCTGATCATGTATATGCATTAACTCCCTCAAGACATATGTCAGATCCTGTCTCACCGGCATCAATCAATCACATGCGAAGGAATGCCAAATGCGAAATACGATTCATTATTTTCATATGAAATTTTGAGGACGACAAGCCATCGTCGGACGTCAAAAAAATACTTTACACATATATACTAATATTTATATACATGGAAAAAATAAATAAAAACCATGACAAATTTTCGAATAGAAACTTGTCAAGACATGAATCACAGGTTGAGACTTATCAAGATTTTAATACAGTCCCTTTTGCTTACAAGGTAGGAAGTTGTTTTGGAATATACCAGCTACTAGATGGTAAGGTAAAATCAGGGCCGTAACTAGAACGATAATTGGGGGGGTGTTTATTCATATATTCAGTTCTGCCCGACGGATTTCTTTTGTAAGTGCAATAGCTCGCAATTGAAATCCGTCGGGCAGAACTGAAATATGATAAACACCCCCCCAATTATCGTTCTAGTTACGACCCTGGGTAAAATGATCTATTGTATTGTTACAATTATACAAAGGTTTCTTTCGTCCTAATTTTTTAACTAGACTGAACCGTAATTACACAATTGCTGTTAAGTTCTGAACTGACTCATAGTCATCGCAAATCTTTCGCTCAAACATGTGTCATGCATACTATATCTCAATGCGGAAAACTCGAGCTTGACGTACTTCATTGCAATTCATGAATTGATGTCTGTGTACTCGTATTAATCAGTTTAATTAGTTTTTATAATCATTTCGAAATGAAACTTTAAGACATCGTCTTTAAATGAATGATGTTAGCTATCCCTATACTGATTTCACTGTTATTCATAAGAGAGAAAAGCAAGTATATTGTATAATTATATTATCAGGCACCTGCGTTATTTTTCGAAGAAATTGTCTGTATCTTCCAGGAAAACTAAAGCTAAGCGTGAATCACGTGATCCGGAATAAAGCAATTCGCATGATTTGGTAGGCTTTTCTAAGAATGTTCGCCACTTTTAAAATATGTCATATACAGGGTTGGTAGAAGTCATGAATAAATAAGCCAAATATTAGTAACATAACATATGCTTTTTTTGTTTAATAGTAATAATCAAAGGGCCGTCAATAACAATGTTTGGCCTATTCATTCAGTAACTTACATAGCAACCCTGATCATGTATATGCATTAACTCCCTCAAGACATATGTCAGATCCTGTCTCACCGGCATCAATCAATCACATGCGAAGGAATGCCAAATGCGAAATACGATTTCATTATTTTCATATGAAATTTTGAGGACGACAAGCCATCGTCGGACGTCAAAAAAATACTTTACACATATATACTAATATTTATATACATGGAAAAAAATAAATAAAAACCATGACAAATTTTCGAATAGAAACTTGTCAAGACATGAATCACAGGTTGAGACTTATCAAGATTTTAATACAGACCCTTTCGCTTACAAGGTAGGAAGTTGTTTTGGAATATACCAGCTACTAGATGGTAAGGTAAAATCAGGGCCGTAACTAGAACGATAATTGGGGGGGTGTTTATTCATATATTCAGTTCTGCCCGACGGATTTCTTTTGTAAGTGCAATAGCTCGCAATTGAAATCCGTCGGGCAGAACTGAATATATGAATAAACACCCCCCCAATTATCGTTCTAGTTACGACCCTGGGTAAAATGATCTATTGTATTGTTACAATTATACAAAGGTTTCTTTCGTCCTAATTTTTAACTAGACTGAACCGTAATTACACAATTGCTGTTAAGTTCTGAACTGACTCATAGTCATCGCAAATCTTTCGCTCAAACATGTGTCATGCATACTATATCTCAATGCGGAAAAACTCGAGCTTGACGTACTTCATTGCAATTCATGAATTGATGTCTGTGTACTCGTATATAATCAGTTTAATTAGTTTTTATAATCATTTCGAAATGAAACTTTAAGACATCGTCTTTAAATGAATGATGTTAGCTATCCCTATACTGATTTCACTGTTATTCATAAGAGAGAAAAGCAAGTATATTGTATAATTATATTATCAGGCACCTGCGTTATTTTTCGAAGAAATTATCTGTATCTTCCAGGAAAACTAAAGCTAAGCGTGAATCACGTGATCCGGAATAAAGCAATTCGCATGATTTGGTAGGCTTTTCTAAGAATGTTCGCCACTTTTAAAATATGTCATATACAGGGTTGGTAGAAGTCATGAATAAATAAGCCAAATATTAGTAACATAACATATGCTTTTTTTGTTTAATAGTAATAATCAAAGGGCCGTCAATAACAATGTTTGGCCTATTCATTCAGTAACTTACATAGCAACCCTGATCATGTATATGCATTAACTCCCTCAAGACATATGTCAGATCCTGTCTCACCGGCATCAATCAATCACATGCGAAGGAATGCCAAATGCGAAATACGATTTCATTATTTTCATATGAAATTTTGAGGACGACAAGCCATCGTCGGACGTCAAAAAAATACTTTACACATATATACTAATATTTATATACATGGAAAAAAATAAATAAAAACCATGACAAATTTTCGAATAGAAACTTGTCAAGACATGAATCACAGGTTGAGACTTATCAAGATTTTAATACAGACCCTTTCGCTTACAAGGTAGGAAGTTGTTTTGGAATATACCAGCTACTATAGATGGTAAGGTAAAATAATATATTGTATTGTTACAATTATACAAAGGTTTCGCATGAGTATCGCAGTTCTGGGCATGCGCAAATGCGCGCATAAACTACATTCTGTTCATAAATTTCGCAACTTGTTTACTGTTCAACACGTATTCTCTGACTTGTCTCAAAGGAAGATTTTTCGAAGTTTTTTTCTTTCCTAAATGGCTGCAAATTCAACAACTGAATCAGCTTGCTGTTCTGGCGTTAAAGCGAAGAAACCTGACTCGGAAATCTGTAAATATAAGGTATGTCATTGTCGTCCAAACTCTGTTTACTTCGAATTCAAATGTTTGATGACTTCGATCTGATACCGATATTCGGACTGTTGTTTTAATGTAATTATTGTGATCATACTGATCATAACCAAGATATTACTGTTATTGATATTTATTAATTTGTCGTTGTTTTGGCCATGTATTAACACTATAATTTGAATGTCTTAGGCTTAAGTGGAAGAAGTGCTGCACTTCCTAAAATCAGGATACCAGGAATCTACTCATTTTGCCACTCTTGACTAAGTCGCAAGGAAAAAATATCCACATGCTGTCTCAATTCTCGAGAAACTTTGAATATGAAGGTATGTCTAGCCATTTAATAACTTCGCATTGGCGCATCGCATCATAATAATATGTGATATGATCTTATAAATTTTATTATTGTTACTTGTTTTATAGCTCTTATTATTCATTTGGCTTATATATTTACCCTTTATGTAGACATTCAAAAGTGAATATGAAAACTTACACACATGTCTACTAACTACTGTTTGGAATTTTTGTGGCAGTGCTGTTGGGAGAAATACAAGTGTGTGCAAAATTTGCAAGAAAGATGATGGTGAAGACTGGCTTGGGTGTGACCGGTGCTATCAATTCTTTCACGCCAGTTGCAGAAGTGTAGACTTCGCAACAGCACTTTCAGGAAAATTTTATTGCTAATGTGCAGCTAGGTGAAGTGATGCAAGGTGCAGATGTAAATATATGTAAATAAGATATAAATTCCAATGATGTAAATAATTTTGGTTGAACTGTTAAAATTATCTTGTCAGAAATTAAATGAAGCAATGTACCATTATACTTGAATTTTTGTGGTAGTATAATACCAACTATATTGCTATCTGAATCCTTACATTCATTATTGTGATATCCTAACCAAACAAATGATCTAACCACTCTATTACTCAACTACTTAATTTCCCAACTGACATTAGTACCTGACTGTAGTACCCATATCATGAAATAGATACCATTCTGGTACTCACTGGGTAATTATATACAAGTAGATGAGCACCAGAGTGGTGGGGTACTAGAGTCAATTTGGTAAAGAAGTGGTTAGATAAGCCTTCCATTATTCTGCATGATCATGACAAATCTTGACAAATCTTGCATGATTTAATAAGGTCTTAGAAAGATCTTGGCAGGATCTTGTGTAAGGTCTTGCTAGAACTTGACAAGTCAAAGTCAAGTTCTTGACAAGAATGTCATTGTGAACCTTGGACTGGGTTATACTTTTTCAAATTCGATAATGAATAGTATTTTAGCGATTTAAATAGCCTTCAATGATGTTTTATCTGTCCTAGTGAATCTTTGTTTTACACGTTTCTCGATTAATTACTAAAACGTACTAAAATTTTGATCAAAATTAGCCGAAACCAAACAGTCGCACTCGGCCGCCGAAGTCATAGATTTCGCAATCGTCATGTTTTTCGCTCGAGTAAGCCGCGAAATTCGTGACTCGTCACGCGTGGTCATGTATTTCGCAATGGTCATAAATTTCGCTTGACACCGGCATCAATCAATCACATGCGAAGGAATGCCAAATGCGAAATACGATTTCATTATTTTCATATGAAATTTTGAGGACGACAAGCCATCGTCGGACGTCAAAAAAATACTTTACACATTTATACTAATATTTATATACATGGAAAAAATAAGTAAAAACCATGACAAATTTTCGAATAGAAACTTGTCAAGACATGAATCACAGGTTGAGACTTATCAAGATTTTAATACAGTCCCTTTCGCTTACAAGGTAGGAAGTTGTTTTGGAATATACCAGCTACTAGATGGTAAGGTAAAATCAGGGCCGTAACTAGAACGATAATTGGGGGGGTGTTTATTCATATATTCAGTTCTGCCCGACGGATTTCTTTTGTAAGTGCAATAGCTCGCAATTGAAATCCGTCGGGCAGAACTGAATATATGAATAAACACCCCCCCAATTATCGTTCTAGTTACGACCCTGGGTAAAATGATATATTGTATTGTTACAATTATACAAAGGTTTCTTTCGTCCTAATTTTTTAACTAGACTGAACCGTAATCACACAATTGCTGTTAAGTTCTGAACTGACTCATAGTCATCGCAAATCTTTCGCTCAAACATGTGTCATGCATACTATATCTCAATGCGGAAAAACTCGAGCTTGACGTACTTCATTGCAATTCATGAATTGATGTCTGTGTACTCGTATATAATCAGTTTAATTAGTTTGTATAATCATTTCGAAACGAAACTTTAAGACATCGTCTTTAAATGAATGATGTTAGCTATCCCTATACTGATTTCACTGTTATTCATACGAGAGAAAAGCAAGTATATTGTATAATTATGTTATTAGGCATCTGCGTCATTTTTCAAAGAAATTGTCTGTATCTTCCAGGAAAACTAAAGCTAAGCGTGAATCACGTGATCCGGAACAAAGCAATTCGCATGACTTGCTGGGCTTTTCTAAGAATGTTCGTCACTTTTAAAATATATCATATACAGGGTTGGCCGTAGACGTCATGCATGAATAAATAAGCCAAATATTATTAACATAACATGTTTTCTTTGTTTAATAGTAATAATCAAAGGGCCGTCACTAACAATGTTCGGCCTATTTATTCAGTAACTTACATAGCAACCCTGATCATGTACATGCATTAACTCCCTCAAGACATATGTCAGATCCTATGTCTCAGCGGCATCAATCAATCACATGCGAAGGAATGCCAAATGCGAAATACGATTTCATTATTTTCATATGAAATTTGAGGACGACAAGCCATCGTCGGACGTGAAACAAAATACTTTACACAGATATACTAATATTTATATACATGGAAAAAATAAGTAAAAACCATGACAAATTTTCGAATAGAAACTTGTCAAGACATGAATCACAGGTTGAGACTTATCAAGATTTTAATACAGTCCCTTTCGCTTACAAGGTAGGAAGTTGTTTTGGAATATACCAGCTACTAGATGGTAAGGTAAAATCAGGGCCGTAACTAGAACGATAATTGGGGGGGTGTTTATTCATATATTCAGTTCTGCCCGACGGATTTCTTTTGTAAGTGCAATAGCTCGCAATTGAAATCCGTCGGGCAGAACTGAATATATGAATAAACACCCCCCCAATTATCGTTCTAGTTACGACCCTGGGTAAAATGATATATTGTATTGTTACAATTATACAAAGGTTTCTTTCGTCCTAATTTTTTAACTAGACTGAACCGTAATCACACAATTGCTGTTAAGTTCTGAACTGACTCATAGTCATCGCAAATCTTTCGCTCAAACATGTGTCATGCATACTATATCTCAATGCGGAAAAACTCGAGCTTGACGTACTTCATTGCAATTCATGAATTGATGTCTGTGTACTCGTATATAATCAGTTTAATTAGTTTGTATAATCATTTCGAAACGAAACTTTAAGACATCGTCTTTAAATGAATGATGTTAGCTATCCCTATACTGATTCCACTGTTATTCATACGAGAGAAAAGCAAGTATATTGTATAATTATGTTATTAGGCATCTGCGTCATTTTTCAAAGAAATTGTCTGTATCTTCCAGGAAAACTAAAGCTAAGCGTGAATCACGTGATCCGGAACAAAGCAATTCGCATGACTTGCTGGGCTTTTCTAAGAATGTTCGTCACTTTTAAAATATATCATATACAGGGTTGGCCGTAGACGTCATGCATGAATAAATAAGCCAAATATTATTAACATAACATGTTTTCTTTGTTTAATAGTAATAATCAAAGGGCCGTCACTAACAATGTTCGGCCTATTTATTCAGTAACTTACATAGCAACCCTGATCATGTACATGCATTAACTCCCTCAAGACATATGTCAGATCCTATGTCTCAGCGGCATCAATCAATCACATGCGAAGGAATGCCAAATGCGAAATACGATTTCATTATTTTCATATGAAATTTGAGGACGACAAGCCATCGTCGGACGTGAAACAAAATACTTTACACAGATATACTAATATTTATATACATGGAAAAAATGAATAAAAACCATGACTAATTTTTGAATAGAAACTTGTCAAGATATGATTCAAAGGTTGAGACATATCAAGATTTTAATACAGTCCCAACATTATTATTATTATTATTATTATTATACATAAAACATACTCCCAATAGGGCTTTTCAGTATGTACTAACAAGGCTAAAAATAGGTATATTTCTATCTACAATTACGTTATTGACTATGCTATGTTTATAAAATATGTTTACAATTAAGAGAAATCCTAGTTGTATAGTTATACTAAGATTTTAATACTTTAACTAAGATAGATTTCCGTTAACATTATTTGTTAACATATTTTTCTTTAAGTGCTTCTTAAATGTTTTAAAAGGTAGTTTTTTAAAATCTTTATCTAAAATGTTCCAGATTTTTATTGCTCTATAGCAAAAACTTCTTTGACCTGATGTTGTTTTGCATGGGGGAATGTCAAGGTCGTCTTTATTCCGGGTGTTCTTGTTGTGAACTGCATTTCGTTTTAAAAACTGGTCACATAAGTACGGCGGTGCAAGTTCGTTCATGCATTTATAAGCCATTAGTGTATCTCTGTACTGTAAATGTTCCTTGACTGGGAGCCAACCGATCGCCTGTAGTACTGGTGTTATGTGGTCGTATTTCCTTGTATTTGTTATAATCCTACAAGCAAAATTTTGTACTTTTTCGAGTTTTTTTATGTTTGTTGCCGATGTATTCGACCACACCGTAGAGCAGTAATACAATCTGCTCATCACTAGGGCATTGACAATCGTGTGGAGGGTTTCGCTATCGAAGCTGTCCTTTACTCTATTTATTTGGTACAGTTTTGCCATTGAAGATGATATGACGTGTCGTATATGATGATCATAACTTAAATAACTGTCCATGAATAGCCCTAGGTCTTTGGCGTAAGAGGAAGGTGTGATCTCTTTTCCTAGGAACGAGATAACCAGTCCTTCAGTAAGGTTTCCGATTAACTGTCGAGTGCCTATTAGCATTAATTTTGTCTTTTCAGGGTTAATTAACAGCTTATTTGTGAAACACCATGTTGCAATCCTCTTAAGATCCTCTTCTATGTTACTTTTTGCATCGATTATATTCGTGATTGGAAAGGACATGAATATTTTCGAATCATCCACAAATGATTCTAACTTAGCTGTTTTTGGTGCTGTTGGAAGGTCGTTTATATAGATGCAAAATAATAGAGGTGACAATATTGCCCCTTGTGGGACGCCATGAGTGATTGAAAGAGTTTCTGATACTGAAGAGCCAATGCGTACGTATTGCTTTCTGTCTGAAAGGTAGCTTCTAAACCAATTTAGAGCCTTACGAGATACTCCAATATTGCTTAGTTTTTGAAGCAATATTGTGTGGTCGATGCGTCTTGTTTGATTCATATTTTGATTCTCAAGATGTCCGGTGTGTCGCTTACTTAAAAATGAATAATGCATGTCAATCCTAGAGAGACGGGGGGAGACTATAGGTCCTCCCAACTTTTGGGGTAGGAGGGGGTGAATACATATTTCCCTCCCCCAACGTTTTATACCATAATGATTCTCTTTAAGAAATGGCCTTCACAATTAATGTAAACTCGAAAATCAAAACACCATTAACATTGGAAAATTCTAATATAAAACAACGGAAAAATAATTATATTAATAACTAATTTTTGCTTAACAACACTTGCTGTAAGTTCCGAACTGACTCATTATGAGTCAGTTCGGAACTTACAGCAAGTGTTGTTAAGCAAAAATTAGTTATTAATATAATTATTTTTCCGTTGTTTTATATTAGAATTTTCCAATGTTAATGGTGTTTTGATTTTCGAGTTTACATTAATTGTGAAGGCCATTTCTTAAAGAGAATCATTATCATAGTCATCGCAAATCTTTTGCTCAAACATGTGTCATGCATACTATCATCTCAGTGGCAAAAACTCGAGGTTTACGTACTTAATTGCAATTCATGATGTCCGTGTACTCGTATATAATCAGTTTAATTAGTCTGTATAATCATTTCGAAATGAAACTTTAAGACATATCGTCTTTAAATGAATGATGTTAGCTATCCCTGTACTGATTCCATTGTTATTCATAAGAGAAAAACGCGCGTATATTGTATAATTATATCATTAGGCATCTGCGTCATCTGCGTCATAACTCCCTCAAGTCATATGTCAGATCCTATGTCTCATCGGCATCAATCAATCACATGCGAAGGAATGCGAAATACGATTTCATTATTTTCATATGAAATTTTGATGACGACAATTAATCCATCGTTGGACGCCAAAAAAATAATTTACACATAACTACTAATATTTATATACATGGAAAAAATGAATAAAAACCATAACCAATTTTTCGAATAGGTCGAGACTGAAGATTTTAATACCGTCCTAACCTGAGTCTTTTTTTATTCATATTTTGATTCTCAAGATGTCCGGTGTGTCGCTTACCTACAAATCAATGTGTGTGCGAAATACGCATAATGCATGCATGTCAATGTTTTCTCCTTTAAATGACTGCACAAAATGTCCGGGAATACTCGACCAAAACGTAATAACACACAGTAATATTAACTAACTGTATTGTTACTGACCAAGACGAGTATATATTAGATGGATACTCTTCCTGAAATGTCTAAACCAGCTTCAACTTGTTTATGTAATAGAACACGACGATGATGGAAGGTACTGCTAATTATAGTATGTTCATCAATGCTGGAACAAAGTTTGATGCGGCTTGGTCAAGTGATTGTCCGTCAGGTAAGTTGACATCTAGTAACCATTTTCTACCATATCTAAAAATTATAACAATTATTGGATGAGGTTGAGTGTGATATCGACAATTATTATATACAAAAGCCCCAGATATGAGGTATGCTGCAATTTTATTGGTTGGCTACTAAACAGATATTAGCTCATATCTGTCTAGTAGAGAAAGTAAACAAAATGGCTAAAAGATTTGGAAAGTTGAGTGAAATAGAAATCCAAGCTTCAGTTGATAATAGTACACCAAAATGCATCGAAAGGGTGACAAAGTTTGTGTATGTAATAAAACTATATATAATAAATACGCGCCTCGTCAACTATCAGCTCATATACGACTCGAGTTCGCAGAATAACTGTTAATTCTCGATCAAGCCGAAGATTGCGTTATTCGCTGAAGCCAAGCTGAGACTGATAACGCAAACTGAGGCTTAATAATTCTCGATAACATGCGAAAACCAAATTCAATAATTGTTTTCATATGTATTTCCTTCTTACAGAGGAAGCCTGCGCAATTATTGACAACAAAACTAGCGACAAAAAATTACGTTACCTATGGATAATTTCAATGTCTGTAGATGGCAAGAGATTGAGAATTATCCGTAGGTTTTTAGCCAGTCACATTCGAGATGGCATAAGTAATGCATAATAATACTATTTATAATTACTATACAACTCGCACCGCCTTCAGAAGAGTAAACATCTTGATATACTGTAAAAATGAAAAGCTTTTTAAAGGGTATACCTATGAGAGGCGAGTGAAAGGAAGTCAAGTCCGTTCTGCGCATGGGTACTGCTCGTATAGTTTGTATAGTTCATATTCATTTACAGTGCTCTTAACACAAAAATAGATTTTAGATATTTAGATCTTTGTTGGGAGTATATTTGATATTCAAAAACCGAATTGCAATCGCAATAGCTTAGAAGTTATTCCCGTTGAAAAATGGTAGCTATTTGCGATGTACGAAAACTGAAAACCGCACAAAAGGGATTGGTGCGAAATCGATGTTATGTTGTGATGTCACCATCTCAATACAATTTCAGCACGGTAACAATCCGAGACCGCTACACCGGCCAATATTTCATTCATTAGAACAGCATTATAGCGTGTATTATATACTGAGGGCGACAGCACAAAAAAGGCACGCAAATTAAAAATATGCCAAATAGATGTATTGCAGTTGGTTGCTCTAATGTATCTAATGCGGGAGAAGGCATATCTCGGCATTTTATATACCGTTTTCTGGCGACGAAAGGCCAGAAGTTAAAATAACAGCATTGTTTGCGAGTATGTGTTGTAAGACGAAACACAGGAACGAAGCGAGCTGAAGCCTTATACATCATGGACTTTACTTCCACTTTAATAATTATGTAAAATTTCCGTAAATTCCATCACACATGAATTGTAGGTCAATCCATCCGGCATATCAGCAGCGTTCATAGCAACTGGCATGAAGATCGTTCATGGACCTGGTCTGGGTATGTAAATTCGTTTGACCAAGATCTTCTCTACCAATGTGCAACTGGAGTTGCTGGTGAGTTTAAACAAGATGTTTTCAAGTTCAAGAAATAAAAAATGTCTGACAATGATTTCTTACTTTCAAATGATTTATGCTTGTTTAGTATACTCGAAAATATATTTAAAATACACATTGTATTGAAAAAGTTATTAATTTCTAATTAAATCAGGTGCGAGGTCTTATCACAGCAATTGTTATTGGACTGGCTATGTGAACAGTTGGGATGGTTACTTGAGCTATACCGTTCCATCATATTATTATCCTGTTGGCGTACAAAGTTACCATACACAGCAATTTTAGAGAGTAAGTCCGTTGAATACTCTGCTCTATCGCTTGGTATACACGGTGCTTCACGCATAAGCTTACATGACGTACAGTATTAATAATTTTGCTGAACTGACCTTGTTAAACCATGAATATCGTTGTTACAACTTCTTAACATGATTGTCAACAAGCTGAAACTTACTCGATATAAAGTTCAACAACCATTGTTATATAACAGGATGCAGCACTCTGACCTATATTAGATCTATCTCTTGTAATACATATAATTATATAGATCATTGGTGTGCAGCATCACATTGTTCAGTCTTATTTTAAACAACTTGCATTCATCAACATGATGACTTTTAAGCGTGTAATTGTGGAAGTGAAAGAGAATAGGAAGAAAATTTGAAAAAGGAGAAGAGGAAATGTTTGGATGTCTGTTTGCTTTTTAATCGCAAAATGCAATCATGTGGTGTTTTGTATTAAAAATCTTATTTGATTATAAACTTACTGGCGCTTGGAAAAATCCGTTAAATTCGTCGTCTTTCTTTTGTATTTTGTTAGAGACAGGAGATGGAGATTCCTCGTATGTTGATCGATCTTGATGAAGACAAAACGCCTATAATCTTTCCTAATTTGCCAGTTCTGCATGATGATTCCATATGATTATGTTTATGTCAGTAGTTTGATGTATTGCTTTTGATAATTATGATAAACAAATAGAATATGGGAAAATAAAAAATTCTTTGCTCGAAACTATCTCTTATGCTATCCCCAAACAATACGTCATGCCCTTGCTGAGTGACATTTGTGATCTCCTCTGAAGCCCCGCGTTGCTGGGAAAATTTGCGGAATTGCGCAGTGTCGTCTGTTTTCAGTATATGATCATAAACTTTACTTCATGTTTCTTGCTTCTCTGGCCCAGTTGCGTCGCGAGCGTCAATTAGGGGGGGGGGGAGGAGGAAGGTGGTGTGAACGTTTATATTATTCATGTTCATAGACCGTGATAACAATTAATTTGAAAATAAATAATGTAAAAGACGAGTATAAAAATATGCCCCCGCCACTTATGAGACCCTCTAGCGTGTAATTATAGTGATACTAAAATACCAAAATATTTTATATTTATCATTTTCATCCTGACTGAACTGTCGTGATCTATAATTGTATCTAACGGAAATGGTTGTGCTATTCATGACTTCACTGCTTGGAAGCGAACGTATACCATCGCAATACCGAAGTAGCGTCGCCACATAATTTGAAATACCACTTGAATTCTCGTATCCTTTAACGCACATATAAATCCGTTCCGGCGAATAAAGATAAAGAATCATTAAATTACCGTATTTCCAATGTTACAACTTTGTATACTCTGAGAAGGGTCCTAAAGGGGGGAGGGGGTTATTGTCCAAATGACAAAATCCAAAAAAAGGTCAAATCCCATTCCCTAGAACTAAATCCCACTTTTCCAGCGTAACTGAATTGGAGCAATCCCAGCTCCCATTTTACCCATTCCGTGACCCTCTTAAGCAAATCATCGTGTTTATAGGAATAATTTGGCAGGTGAATCCAAACTGAAAACACGTTAACAATTAAATGTGATTGACGTGTTTGCAATTGAAATTTTCCGATCCATTTAAGCATATCAAGTTCATCCTTGACATCATTAGTAAATTCCTTAGTAATTTCATCTGAAGGAAGAGCTGAAACAGGAAGATAATATTTTATTTCGGAACATATAAATATCAAACCAGGAGAAAGTTGTAATTTGGTTCATTTTCATTTCACCAGGGTCCAGGTATGAAGTATTTGCCACATCGATGAGTAAACTGTTAAACTGCAGGTGTTTATATAACACTGTATAATTAGGTCAATTCCATGTCGATCATTTTGTAGTGCGCAAAAACGCAAGGTCGACGTACTTGTAATTATGTGGCTGTGTACCATATATATTCAATTTAAACGGTTCCAATATAAGCATTGAATTCATTTCGAAATTAAACTTTTAGGCAACGTCTTTAAATGAATGAAGTTAGCTTTCCCTATACTAATTCCACTGTTATATTTTAGCTGAACTGTGGTGCAAACCCGAACAATATTAATATTCTTGCATATTTAAGTGGTTGCGTTTTTTTTGAGACACCCTGTAGAGTAGCATCCCTTGATTTCCTCGCAATATTCCCCACCGCGCGCAACTTGCTTTGTCTACTGATGTTTGTTTTCGACTAAATATCAACTGGGGCCATTATAAGGGGTTAGCGCTAACCCCTGGATTAATTTTAATCCTGTGTTTCTGAACCACTGTTCGTTTTCAAAATTTACAAAGTGTGACGTCAATCACCTATCGGTATAGAAAATAGTTATGGAAAAGATATTCAACTTTGTAAACAAGCGATTAAAGAGTCAATGTAAAAATTTGCTTTAACCCAGGGTTGAACAACCGGCCCCAGAGTCCATCTGTGTATCAAATTAAAATTATGTTTTATGAATATTTAATATCATTGAATCTATATTGCATATCGTCAATTATAGGCCACTGGTTCATTCAATGCATTATTATTATTACAATCGCACTACGTTTATGATTGTACTAGGTTGTACCTATATTACAGCTGCAATTTAGTATAACACCCAGAGTTAAAGTAGTCAAAAATATAAAACATATTTATTAGGGGGCGTATAAACTATATAACACATGCATATTTTCACCATACGGAAAGGCAAAATGTACCATAAGAATTGTATAAAAATATGTACAAAACGTCTGTAGAGGTAGGTAAAGTGGCTTCCACCTCACATCACGAGTTCGTGATGTCGACCATCCTATATACAAAGAAATAACTTGAATAAGACCCGAGTGTTGAATGTAATAGCTGTATTCATTCTGTTTTTTTAATTTAGCGAAAGAACTACAAGATAGAGGTTTCAACTTAGCCTTGGCTGCGTTGTTTGGAAGTGATATTTGTAATTTTGGAAAACTGGTATGATTATTAGCGATTGTTTTAAATCGTGTCTAAGCATGCAATTCGCCCATACCATATGTTAATGATGAATAATACATATGTTTTACATTGCAAACCGTTTAGTATGCTGTTGAAGCCATTATCATGATAGCAGATTTGCTCGTTGCATCTTTCCTTGAAAAATCTTCATTCCTTTATTCTTTCAGCTTGCACATCCAGTATTGGACTCAATAACAAAAACGGACCACCAATGGGTAGTGGACTTGCTTTTTGCTTTTAACAGTGGTACATATGTCTTTATTTGTGATACTTTTATGAGGCACATAAATGCAGCGAAAAATTTTATGCGTGTACTAATGGGTAATAAACGTTAGACAAAGGCCTCGCAAATTATTCATGTAATGTTTGAAAAACAGTGAAACCCACAATGATTTGGAGCGTATATACATGCATGAAAAAGAGAATTCCCAAATTGTGATTTGAAAAGATTTCCATCAATAGCGCTATCCAGGAAGTGAAGCTGCACATTTAAAATGCCAAGATTGAGCTCAAAATCAGTGTAGAAGAAGTCGAAAACACAATAAGTAGTTCTTTATAACAAAATGTTTTTAGGTAATATTCCCACTTTGAGGCAATGAAACCCACTTGGACAAAACAAGTAAGAAAGTTGGTACTCCGTACATACCCTATATTACCGTATATATAGATGACCAAATAGAAATGCTCCGTTAAACAATTCCAATCAATTTTCTCATATGTTATTCTAGCCTGATTTAGCAAGCCACGAATTATTACTGCGTCAGAAGATCACGTTACTCTGCTTAATGGAGGTAAAATGTACAAACGTGTACGAGGGTGGTTTATAGAATATTGTGCAATTTTGATCTGATAAAGATCTCGTTTTTATTTTAGATGGCATTCAATCGCCCACCAAATGACCGATCCTTATCCTTTAAAGAAATAGCTACCGATGCGAGGATACCAGTAAACGAGGTCTACTGTGTTCAGGGTCTCGAAATAACGGCCGGTCAACGGACAATGACCACAGGGGCGCCAGAAGCAGCTAGTTTAGGGCGGCGGGGGCAGAGTTTTAGAAAAGGGCACATTCGTTTTACCTTAGCAACAACACAAAGAGGAAACTCAAATTTACAAGTACATGCGAACTTGCAAATCCACGGGAGAACGCATTTTCAACAATATTACGGTTAGTTTTTATGCGAAAAGTAGGCATCATGATTAAATGTTGAATTTATGATACTTTTATATGGTAGTAAAGGGCACAGGGCTGCCCCCGTAAGCAAGGGGCAGGCGGCAGCTGCCCCCGCTGCCACCGTGGTTCCGGCGCCCCTGAATGACCAGCCAAAAATGCTTGTTGACCGGTTAATTTTTTACCATGCCGGTCATTTTGACCATTTGACATAATTCTCTTGGCTTTCATTTATCAGCTCAACACCTATATATATATTGTTATTAATAATTGTGGGTGTCTTCAATTAAAGTGTATGTTATATGTATTTCTGATTGCAATTAATTATAGTCCATAATGTAATTCCTAGCTCTTTAATTTGGAGAATGAGTTTTGTGGTTTTAAGGAAATGAGGTATGTGGAAATGTGGCCGAAGTCTGCATCTTCCATTAATGCATGCTGGGCGTCTTCTAGTCATGTTTGGTGTTGTAGATTATTTGGTTTCTGAAACAGGGATTGGGGCATGTATGACGTTTGGTATGGTATGGTATAGTTTAAAATTAAATAGTGCTATAAGGCATGGTTAGTTAAAGTGTAGTACGGTTTTCTTCGCTGTGTTATGAAACGTAACCAGCAAGGGTAAATATTAAGGTGTTTGTCTTCATTTAGATATCCAATATGAAAGATCGTCTCTCTGAGTGGTGTGACAAAACAAAGAATACGAGTTATATGGTCAAAGACCAAGTCCCAGAACTATTAATATAATCTGCAATTGTATAAATAATGTTTTTATAGCATTGTTTCGCCTGTCAGTTTGTTAAAAAGCTTGTAATCAGTTAAATTTTACTGAACATCTGTGGTCCATGATCAATGCAGAGTAATTTTTCCGATACACAACAGTAGCCTTGTTGTTTTCATAGATCGTAATTTAAAATATCGGTTCAGAACAGATGTGTTTAACTAGTTATTATGAACTATTTGCCACAAGATTGATACATCAAATCCACCCCAGGCAAAAGAATTCCAGCTCCGACAAATTCGAATACTGCATCAAAATCGAAAATTATTTCAATTAAGTTTCGTTTTACATTTCAATTAATGTGGAAGCACCATGTATTGGTTGCGTAAAGGCAAGTTCACACGATCCAATTTTGTTGGGTCCAATTCACTTCTGAGGGATGATTTATAGTCTGTTTGCTTGCAAAGTATATGGGCAGCAAATCAACTATCCCCACGTCTCCACTGTCCACGAGTCTTGTTCTTACGTGCCGGAATTGAAAATTCATGTAAGTGAATTGCTGGGAGTATCTTCAAACAACTTGCCACTGGAAGAAAAGATGGAAAATTAGCGAAGGAATACTAACGGAAAACCAAAGTCGAACAAGAGAAATCTGGAAAATGACTTTTTTACTTTGATGGCATATATCAACAAGCCCCCCTTGATAAAATTTTGGCAATACACCCCCTGGACGCACTAAATATGATTAGGTTAGGATTAAAGCTTTGGACACAGTTGTATAGCACCTGGGAAGAAATATATATAAAACACGATAAAACGAGTGTTTCTAAATAGGCAGTAGCCTATAAGTCTGAGTGTTTATTTATCGCGAAAAAGTGCTTATTATGTTCCTCAACCGTCAAGGTGTACTGAGCTCGTGCAGACGTGTGCTTTAGCGCTTATATAATTTAGTGCTTACATCGTTTAATCTCGGAGAATAAAATCCACTGCTCACGCCACAGTTCAATTGCAGCGTTTTTACTTTCATGCTTTCAAGTTTTATTCTTGGTAAATGTATTTATTTTAATTGAGCCATACTTCCGTCTCTCGTGACAATTAAATTAAAGTGGCCTTTGAATAATTATGAACTGTTCCCTTTCACTCAGTAAAATCAGGGAAAACTTCAAAGCCGGTTGTGTTGTAAATGTTGTAAAGCCGGTTGACGAATCACGAATGCGCTGTTACACATGACATGAACTGGGAAAGCGAATTGTGACAGGAAATGTGTTTTCGCACGAATACGGTGAGTAGCTCACCAAGTGTTATTGATACTATTAAATGTCAAGGACTTTCCCAGGAATTCTTGTTAACTTTCATCCTCGTGTGATAATTATACGCCGTATAGCTCCAATCAGTAGCAATGCTGATTAGTTTTGATAGATTTGGACTGTGGAAATAAATATACCAAAGTCCAAATCTATCAAAACTAACTCAGCATTGCTACTAACCATTGCCCAAAGGCAGACGAAGATGTTGTGACAAGCGAATCCGGTTATAGTGAAAACGGGGCTCACATGCGAATAATTTCACTGGAAAGAACTTGCACTTCACACAAACATCCATTCTATTAAAATTTTGCTTTTTTTAATACGGAGGATTTTTTAGAAAAAGATTTCTCAGAATTAGTGTGCGATTCTTTAATTCTTGGTGCCCTGATTGCTGGAACTCGCACATGAATATAGACATAATATAATCTATATACAGCATGCCTCAAACAAACGAAAACTATTGAAATTACACATTCTTAAAATTTGAATGCCGTGTTCACGAATTTTATCCCCTGGGGATTTATAATATTCAAATACGAAAAATTTGAAATTGTGAACATGATTTAAAAATTTAAATGAGCCTTGTTATTGCTTCAAAAGAAAATGGTACACCTGATCGCGGAACAACGAGTGTTTATTGTGATAAATGATACGCGTATATCAAAGGCAAAGTTCAACGGAAATGCGAAACGCTTTTCGACAAAGGGCGACAAAGTGCAAATATTGTAAATAAATATTTTTGCGTACAAACAAATTTTACTGCATCATGTATAAAAATGCTTATGGCAAACATTCATACACTTGTGGGTCCCAACAGAGTGCTTAGGCATTTAAACTCTAAAAACTACATTGTTATGGGTTATTTCAATAGTTTTCGTTTTCTTTGAGACACCATGTAGTCTCTCAATTATTGTATATTAGTATTCTGGTATTCTGCTTTCTATTGAAATTTCGGAATAGATTTTTTCATTTCGAAATACACAAATTCATCAAGTATGACGAGCAGTTATTGAAGTAGCAAGAAATATTTAATAAGGGTAAATGGAGCATTGCCGGAATAAAACTGTCAAAGAAAATTAGGAACTGTTCCTTTAATATGCATATGGTATATACGACATATATCAATTTCCCAATGACAATGTTTTTCTCAAATTTTGCCGAATTCAAGAATGATCAATGTAATTTATAGTGCAGCAATTGGAAAGTATTTGAACAAATATATGCAAATTATTTACTGCAATTTGCATATTCTTCAAGACTCTGTTATGTTCGCCGGTGAGAACGAACAAAAAATGAGAACAGTGTTGAGCATTTTAAAACATTTAGTGAATTATAGTGAGCAATAAGCAACTTAAACTTTACAAAGCACATTAACAATATCCTATTTCTTAACAATAACTTATCTGGTAAGAGTAATAGTGAATAGCTCCATAGTGGAAAATCCATCATAAATCCATCTATGTTATATTGTTCATTTGGTCAGCCGTCACCTTAAATTAGCATCGTCAGTTATGGCATCTTGTAATGGCTGTAATCGCTTGCTTTTATCTATTTGCGCTCGGACTTATACAGGGTGTCCCAAAAAAAAAGCAACCACTTAAATATGCAGAACATTAATACAGCTCTAAAGCGCAATAGATAAGCACCTCTGGGAATTGAAAATGACTCTTAATCCTTCATTTACAATGCTAAAAGTCATTTTAGCTGAACTATGGTGCAAACCCGAACAATATTAATATTCTTGCATATTTAAGTGGTTGCGTTTTTTTTGGGACACCCTGTATACGCTTGCTAAGAGAAACTGCAAAACAACAAGTAATTTCCCCTACGCAATTCAGAGCGTTGTAGCGCATGCTACCATGGCTTTGTGGTTGACTCCAAGCTACGCACTCGCGGTTAGGCGTGGACATAGCTATTGCCTGCTCATGCTTATACCTATTTTGCTTACTCATGCATGTAAGTCTTAGGAGAATAAGGTTAAGTAACTAAAAGGTATATATATTTATACTAGCTAAGAATATGACGCTATATTATTATACGATCTAATTTCATGATATTATGTATCATGTAACAACTCAAACAGGCCCCCAATTCAATAATGACACAATATCCTCATGGAACAAAAGTCTATCAAAAGACATATACAAAGATGTATGGTACTAGTAGACTAAGTAGAGAACCCAATTGACACAAGTATCAGCGAACACCTTGCCTCTGATTATGATTTACGATAATTTTTATATTTATACTTAGAAAAGAGAATGAACTTAAAACGAAGAGAAATACTATGAATTCCAATTTCCATGAAATTCCAATTCTCATGAAACTCCAATTCCCAGTTTCCTCGATTCTTGTATTTCCCAATTCTTTAATCTCATTAACTTAAGCGTATAAAACGTATGAAGCGTATGAAACGCTCCGCCTGCTATTAGAGGCACACAGTGCTACCGCGCAGTTAACGTCGTTTGTTCTTAGCTCTTTGGCTGTTCATACGAAGGTAAAAACATCGTTCGTTCAGTTTCACAGAAATTGCAGAAATTGAAGCGCTAAATTCGTGGTCGCCACTGAAGTATCTCCAGAAAGGTACGTCAAAGGTATCTTAAATCTCAAAATTTTGGACTTTAAGCTTTTTTCAAATCATGCAGTTTTGTGTCTTTGAGGCTTCATGATCCTCGAAGTATATTATGATCGAACTGGTGAACTTGCAACTGAGTCATTCTTTTCTTGAACAGCAGTTACACGAGAGCTAGCTTTATAGGTTTCACTTAAAGCTCAAAATTCCCGTTTGAATTTCATTAGTTTTGT